GCATGGTCCTGTTTGCATCCCTGGCTCCATCACAAGTTCAAATCACAGCCCATCATAATCCCAGTAATTAGACACAAGTTGGTTTGTTTTCAGTATATCCAAAAATATCATCTAGTTGTCCAAAGTATTCCCAGCATTTCATTGTATATGCATTTCTGGGTTAACAGTCAAAGTCATTTTAGCAAGGTTCCAGTAATTCGTGTAATTTTTGTTCCAGCTTTGTTTACTGGATAAACATGAAAATAGCACGGAGCGGTACAGAACTGACATTCGCAGCTCGCTTTCAAAGACACCAGCAGCCTATCTACAAGTTGGAGATACCGAACACAAAACACAAGTACCTGAAAAACAGCTTATGTGACTTCAGACATGCCCCATACTTCCTGCAACAAGGTCTGTGCTGCCTAGCTGAACCAGCACCCTAAAACAAACAAATATTCATTGTGCCCAGCCACAGCTGCTACACATGTGAAAACAAACACCCCAAATCTCTGACAGAGTAAATGGATCATCTCCCTTCAGATGTAAGCATGTGTAACATGGAGCCCCGTACATACAGGAATTAACACATTTGCTTTCTAAACCACATGGAACAGAGCTTGTACTTTTCTACACGGACTAGACCGACCATACTGTGAAGCCTTCTTGCTTCATCATGTGCCTGAAGTTACTGAAACTCAGCAAAAAGCAAATGTGTTAACTCTAATTATCACACAGCTCAAACTGCCCAGATCCATAATGAATATAACTTGAGAATGGCTGGAGTTTGAGAAAGAGGAGCAGTTTATACAGATAGGACTCTCTCCTTTATTACAAAAAACTATTAATTTCAGCTTCCTGATCTATTTTTTCCTAGAATAAACTATGCCCTACACCAAAGTCAGGGAAAGCACTACTTCACATAAAAAAACAGTTAACTTCCAGCCTAGAAGTTGGAAGCTTGCTATCGATTAGTGCATTATTTCCATCACAAGGCCTGAAGCAATGCATTGACCTCAAAGTGCTCTGACATGCTAACAAAACAAAGGAACAGCTGTAATTGTGAGCCAAAGTTTCTATCAGTTACTATGCTTAGTAAGCTTAAAAGGTAGATTTGAATTCCGGAAGGTTTCAGCTTGTGGAGAATTGTTTAACCATCCTGCACAACCTTTACAGACCTGCCTTCCAAAAGCTCCAAAATCCTGCACACCGCAATGCCCAGAAAACACAAGAGGGGCAGCAGAATGAGTATGCAGTCAGAGGAAAAGGGAAAGGATGGCAGGTATTCCCTCTCACCGCACGCAAGGGAGCTCTGGCATAAATTAAACGAGGAGGTACAAGAGTTACAGGTAGTTCAGTGGCAGCTCAAGGGCTCTACTGCCCGTCTAAAAACTTGTTCTCCTTCCCACTGACAAACCTAATACTAAATGCATGTAGGGAGCAGAACTAGGCCCAAGGTGTGTAAAGAGTCTGAGGTATACACCAGCCTCTCAGAGTGCAGACTGCCTTCCTTCCCTAAGTGACATGCAGATCAGGCCTTTTGGCAGGACGATGGATAGGACATCAAAAAATTTAGTAATAAAACCCTCCAAGAGGCTAGCAGAGGAAAATACGCACGCATCTTGCACAGTACAAATAACAACAGTATGTTTCAGAGAGCATGCACACACAGCTGAAAAGGAAGGCAAGACACACATTTCTTTGGTGTAAGCCCACACTTCACCTGTCTCATCTAGCATTAGTGTCATCAGCTCAGGGCTGGAAAGTCATCGGGAAAGTAGCAGACCCAAGCATGCTCTGCCTGCCATTACGGAAGTCGGCTACTTCAAACTAAACAACTGAAGTCTATAAACCTGCAGTAATAACCTTACTCGTACATGATTTTGATGAGGCAGCCTTAAGAAGTAAACAGAACTTCGTGTACCAAGCCTAAAGGAGCAGCTGGCAACAGAAACTCCCTTATCTTTCTGATACATGTAACCAACTCATAGAGGCACTACATTTCAGAGGTAATTGAGAGAAGTTTCAAACACAGAGGATGGATGATGCTTCTTTTCCCCTCCTGCTACATCGGACACATTTCCTGATTGCAATACTTAGGTGGCAATTTCTATTTTCTTGGTGCCACCACGTGGCAAATATATGTATTACCATTTAACATGCAAAAGCCACTTCCACAGGCCACACATCCTGCAACGGCTGTACACCAAAAGGCCATGTCCTTTTTATATGTGTGTGGGAGCATATATGAACACTGTGTTTCACTTTCAGACACTACAAAGGCTAGTTTACACAAAATAGGCTAAAAATAATCAGTGGCAACAGACCAGAGGCATTTTGTAACAACTGCACCATTCTTATCTTTGAAAGGAGCATGTTGTTATCCACATGAAATACGTAACCAGGGATGTTTAAATAGCTGAAGTGATTGGGTTAAGGTTGTGGGGTTTTATTGCAACATACAGTGAATATTCACGTATCAACATTACACATATCACCCTCACAAAGGAACTAGATTAAAATGCATGACATAGACAGCTATCTGTATTTTTTGTTGGATTTGGTTTTGTTCTCAGTTTTTTCGGTTTTGGGTTTTTGGTTGGTTGTTTTTTTTACTGTCCCCATGGATCCTGAGAAGACATGTATTTTAAGGAATGCATTGGCATCAGGCCTATCATTATAGAGAGGGACACCAGTGTCTCCTTGCCAGCTTGCAGAAGCTCCAAGAAGAAAGCACACAAGATGAGCTGGATCTAGCCAAAGCAAAGGATGACCATTTATTTTCTTTCCACACCCACAGCTATGCAGGTTAACACACAGAAAGGAGAGTCAACTGCTGAAAACTAGCCTGTGTGCACTTATGATCCCAAGGCATAAGATGGCAGTTAAAAATCAACTCACTCCTGTTATTCCCTCCCCTGTGCTGTACAGACGCAATGTCAGGTCAAAGCAGATCATACAAACACAGAAGAAGTTGCAGGCTGGCAACACATTTCTCCATCCACCAGGAACACCCCTACCCATACACACAGAGGTACCACCACTATAAATTCGTTAACAACCGCCAGTGTACTGAGTTTCATCAGAGAAACAGGGCAGGATATCATGTTTTTCTAAAACTCCTTGATTTCTTTTTTCCTAGCCTGAATAGCATGGATAGCAGTGGGCAAAGAACAAAGGATTAGTAGTCATCTGAGGTAGCTGGATGAGTAGGTAGTCAACAGCAAAGCAGCAAAAGTCCTTAGAGGAAATGTTAGCAAATGTAAGTAAAAAGCTCAACCCACTCTAGTTTAACGAGTTAGTACGCATCAGTTGAGCAAGTCACCTACAACATATGCCAGAACAGCCTTTCACAGCTTCAAGGTAAACATATTACCATAAGAATTACCATGGATTCAAAATCAACACATTTAACCACTGCCCCAACTCAAGTACGCGTGCATAGTTATCACAGCTCAACTAAGGTGCGATAGCCTGACTTCTGTTAGTGCCCTAATAGTGTGAAACTGTTTAATAAAGCAAGCTTTTTGAAACTGAAACTTGACCTGTCAGTTTAAAACTGCATCACGGCAGCCTTGCATCACAGCAAGTAGAGAGAAGTGGTTATGTGACGAAACAGTATATTCCTCGGAAGACCATAACTGAATGGCACACAGGTCTAGGAAGAAAGGCATTAGTAAAGAAGGAATAGCTGGGCTCTCCAACAGGTTTGCCAGCACATTCAGCGTCACGAATGAAAAGTATTTTGATAACACAGGCAAGAAAAGATAGGCTGCTGTTGAAAAGCTGCAACAAGCAGCAAAGCAGCAACCCTACTGACATCACTGGGGCTTGAAAAGAGGTGGATTAGACTTCTGGCTTCGCTTAAAGTCTAAGACGCTTTAAGCGAAGCCTATGCACATATCTTGGCCCATACCTCCAGCTTTCTTCAGTAACCTATACATTATTTTATGCCAGGCTCCATTAAAGCAGCTCAGCAGGTAACTTCCATTCCTAGAACTGTTCAGAGGGTCTGGACCCCTGCTGTGCATCGTACTGAGTGGAGCAAAAGCTTCTGCTTGTATGTGCTTGGTACATTAGCATTTAAGTTCAGAACTGGAGCAGCAACATGCATCTGTGGTGTACACTGTCACACAAAGCCACAATTCTAATCTCACTCATCTGATCCGTGTGGGACAGAAGCACAATACACAGACCTTGAATTCACCCCAGGAAAAAACAAATCTTTTCCTGTGCTTTATAGTTTTAAACCATTGTTGGACAAAATGCAAATATATGAGGTTATGACTCTAGATTCTCAAGAACTAGAGATGGAAGGGAAAAAAAAAATGTTCCCTGACTGGCAATGTGGAAAGCAACTCTGCAGAAACTCATGGATAGTTGCATCTGGTCAGTCAACAACAGCTTTTTGCAGACATACATATTGACACACCAGAGTTTTGGGGAAAAAAAAAGAATCCTGTTCTGTAGCAGTGTAGGCATGTAAGTTTGTATGCAACCAATAGCTAGGAAAAGGAGAACAGTTTAGTGGAAGAAACAAGAGGCTGTGAGCCAAGAATAGTTCTAATCCTGTTGTGATTGGGAAGTTAACCTGAGTCTGCCTCTCCCCATGCGTAAAATGGGGATAATTAATCCTCACTTAACCATGTAAATTGAATAATGTTTCAACAGTGCTGCAAGTGCCACATATTAATTAATGCCTAGGTAATAAAAAGGAAGGAGGCAAAAGTGGAGCACTCTGCTACTTACCTGCAAGTCGGAGGTTGTGCCGCAATTTTAAAAGATGAGATATTTGGCACTTGGAAGATGAGACCCCAAATTATCATTCAGTCTTAAGAGAGAAAGATTTCTCCCTCTCTCTCATCTGTACAGAGGCTAACAAGCACATGAAAGCCAGGCACACATCATTCTGCGTTTCACATCATCTCTTCGCAACACAGCAAGCTGACATTAGCTAAGGAAATGCCATAAACAAATACTCCTAACCAAAGATAAGGCAAACACAGTGGGCAGATCCATACCTTGAACACCTTCCAGAAGCAGATCAACCCCCTTTCTATAAAAGCTGAAGGCAGTTTCATAATCTTCTTCCTCCTCCTTCTTCAAGGCCAGTTTTATCAACTCGCCCGCTTTCTCCAGGTAATCTTGTTTGCCAGGCTTCGGTTTTAAGCTTCCAGTAAACAGACCATGGCTTTCCCTCTCCCCTTCAGGTTTGCTCCACTCCTGCTCAGCTGCCAGCGTGCCTTGTACTGGGGGCTCAGAAGTTAGGCAAAGACCAACAGCTCTACTGGGAGAACTTTGGTTGGATGCCATTCCATCATCTAACTCAGCAAGAGAGTCTACATCGACTGTCAGAGAGATCAGGTCACTGTCACTGGAGAAGCCTGAAAGCACAGTCGGAAAGACATCCAATTACTCTACATTTCTCACATACCTTAGGAAACTCCAAAATTCTTTATCCCACGTAAAGATTTTAGCTTTCTTCTCACCTATGCAGCTTCCTGAGACTTTGTGCACAGAAATTCCCTGCATGTAAAGCTGTCTTAAAAATTACTTTCGAGTACCTCTAGAAACATCATTTTTAAAGTTACTTACAAGCTCCACAGAGCAACCGATGTTCGTTTTAATACTGAGAATGAAGAGACCAACACCTAACACCCAACTTAAACTTTCAAAGCCTGCACGCTGTTGGGCTCCAAGAAATTACAAAACTAACCCTCTCGGTGTGAATGCTATTAGAAAAGTCAATCAGCACGAGCTGGATTACTGTTGCAAGAAACCCCAACATACTGTTTTAAATCAGTGAGATGAAGCATCCCCAAGACAGTAAATTTGAGTTTTAATCAACACAGAGGTACTGTCAGCTTATGCATCATGCAGCACTCTTGCATCTACCATGTATCCTCTTCTTCCATTGCTAACACAGGGAAAAATGAATTTGTCTACACCTCTTTCACTGAAATTTGAGCTGACACATTTTATTTTACATTTGCCATAACCTAAAATCATATATACTTACTGCAAGCCAACCTTCAGTAACTAAACCACAGCAATTTAGCAGGGTTATTTGGAAATTAATGGCAACAAATACACTTTACGCGTACACCGTTTCATCCTGTAAGGATTATCATCCATGAAAAGCAGTCACTCACAATTATGACTTTCTAATAATTTAAATTCCACCGTGTAAAGGAAAACTTCCAGATCTTACCTCCACATTCTGATTGGCTCGTAAGTGTCACATCATCACGTCCACTTAACTCTTTTCGAACTGAAAAGGACAAGAATGACAGAAATGTTTCTGGCATGCTTTTGTACAACAGCTTAGATCTTCACTTGCCATCAAAATGAAAGGGCACGACCCTACTACAGGTGAAAGTACATAATATGAAACTGCTCTTTGACGGGCTATTAGAGACATCCATTTGGTGGCACACCATTAAAATTGTGGCAGTGGTACTAGATTTGCCATTGCCTCCAAGGTTCAAGAAACAGAACACAGGTGCTTGCTTAGGGCAGGATAATTCAAAACTCAGCACTCCAACTCACCTAATTTCAATAGCAGCAGCACTTTAATCCCTATCTCTCACTGCTCTGATGAGTTACAGCTAAGGAGACTTAAAACAAGAGAGCCTTCAAAGCTGGGACCTACACACCAAGAAAAAAAAAAAAGCCAGCTTTCAGTCTCAAAAATGTCATTCCAGAATAGTACCCTGCATGAGACATATGGAGCGAGCCACGAATTTGGCAGTGCCACCTGGATATCAAGTGGCAGTTTGTTTTATCACCTTGGCACATGTACCTACTGAGGCAATAAAACAGGCAACAAGGTCAAGACATTCAGCTGTCTGTACACACAGAGAAAGTAAATTCTGAGCTAAAAAACCTGGTGTCTGTTTTCTTTTGTATTATCACCAGTCAAGAGTTTATCCACATTATCAGGTGAAGTGTTCTGACTCATCCTCAAACAGTATGCGGCAGTAGCAAGGAGCTGACTCGAAGGCAACTAATTCAAACTTTTCGATTTTGCAACTCTAGAGACAGAGGGAGATTGTAATTTATGGAAGAGGAGTAAGAAAGCACTGTAGAAATACTGCTTTTCTAAAAGCTAGCAGTTCCTTTAACCTGAGTTAGAGGAGAAAACAGGCAGGAGAACAGATTACCAGCCCCTCTCTGTCTGAAAAGCGAGGGACAGCAACACCTAGTGACACAAGACTACCTGACAGGAGGGGTCAGGGTGCACAGAAGACAATGCTCCCAAACTTTTCTGGGGAGGTACATCAAGCAAAGAGTCCATGCAGGGAACTCGGACTGTGTAGCCGCGAGTCCTGCAAGAAAGAGGGCCACCTCACCACAGAATGGTTAAAGGAAGAAGGAAGATTCATTAATTAGTTAATGGGCCATTCATCTGTCCAATTTAAGGACAGCAATGTCGAATTTGGGTGTGGAGGACCAAGAATTTACTAAACAGCATTTTAGAGGAGTCAAGTGATTTTGTTCAGCGAAGAGAAATTGCTAGCTAGGGAATGTATAGGTGGAAGCAGAGCTGACTGACAGGCAAGGGGTGCAGGTAACGGATGGAAAAGCTGGTGGTTTGTGCAAGGGATGTGCTGGCCACCCACACGAGACGGATCAGTGCACCCCCACAGCGCAGATTTCAGACAGACCCAAGCTCCTCTCCCTACAGCCCAAACAAAACCATGCTTGCTCTTCTCTTGCAGCCCACCTGACCACAGCTAGCATGGCACAGAGGCTGAGCTAATAAACTTGACTTAAGGGCAGGTTTAGAGCCCCGGTCTGGCACCACATAACCACAGTCATGGGGCTTCCAATCAGCCTGAGGGGGGTAGGCAGAGTCTGAACTGCATAGGCTTATTTTGGGGAAGGTAACGTGAACATGGTAAAACAGAAGGCGAGGGGGAAATATTAGCTTCCTGGAGGATTTCTCTAAACCATCTGACGATTGGTATAGACACACTTTTGGAGAGGAAGTTGGACATTTGAACATCACCGCACGTACCCAGAGAAGATGACAGACTGTCAGGAATATTTGATGAGTATCATGACGCCAAAAATCGAACATAAATTCCTGTCTTTGTCTCTGCCTTAAGCAATTTCACCAGGTATATAAGGAGTAAATGTAGTTTCCAAACAAAACCTGATGGAAAGTCGGGGCACACAGATCCCTGTGGAAGCAAGAAATGCCTAACTGCTTTTACAAGCAAGATACTTAGCGCTTATGTTGGTACAAAAACATTTCTACTACCATTAATTTGCTGCTTCTACCATTAATTTACACACCTTCTACAGAGTGAACTTTGAAAAGAGCAGATGACAGTGAGAAAACCCAACCCACCCTTATAAGCAAACACCAGCACCTGTTAGGAAGGGGTTCGATACCCCTCAGTACGACAGCTTGAAGGAGCAGTGCCCACAGGGAGGCACCTGAACACTCATAAAACACACACAGCGAACTAGTCCCAGTTATCTACCATCATCAGACAGGGAAAAATTAGATGCAGGCAGGATGCCCGGAGAAGAAGCAGGGAGAGGACTCAGAGCCGAGTATTGCCACTGCCATCTAGAGGCCTTAAAGACAGATGTTTCCTTCTGCCCCTAGAACCCCGCCAAAAATTCAGTTTTGAACATCAGAAAATATGAGCTGGAAGACACAGAGGTTTTTAGAAAAAGATAACTCCATAAATCACATTTGGCATCTGGAAATCCTGTGCTCATAGTTGTTTGAAAGCATCCCCTAAAGCACTCCAACCAATTCAGAGGAAGGATATCCATCACTTTTTCTATTTTCCAGCATTTTTTTTCCCTTTCAGTATTTTATCTTACATAAAAGGAGGTGCTTTTCTTCTTCTAAAAACGATGCCCTTGTGAATGAAGTATAGAAATGTTCACGTTAAGCTTTTTTAGAAGCACTTTTACTTTTATAAGGCACAGTGTAAATTGGGCGTGTCAAAATCTGGAATGTTAAATTTCACAGAAACAGTGCCCCTTTAAAACAAGTCACCCGTATTTATGATAACTACCTTCTCTAATTAAACAGCTCTATACCTTCCCTTCACAGAACAATGCATTGTGGGTGCATTAGTCCATCAACATCACAGAAGGAGCTACAAAATAAGCTGCAAAACTCACTGCAGATGTAGACTGTATTACATAACTGAGTGTGTAGTTACTGACACTGAAAGATCCCAGTGGCAAGTCATACAACCTCATGGAAAAAATAAGCAAGCCACGATTAGAAGCTCGTTATTCAATCAGAGCTTTAGCAAAGTAAGTTCAACATCAGAGAGAGACCAGAGGAAATTTAGTTCTTAACGGGGAAAAAAATCAAAAAAATCCCAAATAAGCTTTAAAAGTGTTTGTATAATATTGCATATTTATACATCAGTGTAAAACAGTTCCAAAGGAAAATCTGAAGGGTTGGAAAATAATTTGTTGAAGGCACAAGGTCTGAAACATAACTATGAAACCCCTAAGTATCTAAAAGACTGCATGGTACCTGGCAGATGAATATACGGAGAGAAGCTTAAGGTAGCTCAGGCTCCAGAAGCAGACAAGAAGCCGAAGCACAGTATTTACTTGGGCTGCCAGACCCTGCCTTACAGATAGACTATTTAGGACAAGTGACGTGCCACAAATTACACTGTGTCTGGTATCCAACCCAGCACGTGCATCTCTACAGCGTGCTAAGGAAGTGCCATCTTAGGAAAAGGGACGCACCCTCCAGTGGCATAGCACAACCAGAAAACCTCAGCAAGCTAAGGGAGGAATTTCCAACATTCATCTGAGCGCAGCTCACGCTGGCTCAAACACACATCATCTCAGACCTTCTAGAATATGGAGCTCTTTTTAGGAAAAGATAAAATGCTGGCAGTTTCTGTAAGAGACTTAAGCAACTTGCTTATCTCCCTGAGCCCTGCAGTCAGCTTTAACATTCCCCACTCCCATATGCTCAGTTCAGAAGGCATACTTAAATTTCTAAAATACGACATGTACTCCCTTCTGGATTTTGCTAAGCACTAAAAGCATGGTAACACCCAGAGCATGAAGAGCTGAGTGAGAACCCTCTGAAATGAATGGGACAGTTCAAATCTTAAACATATTTTTCATGCTCTAGGCAAATTCAGTCATCTTTGTATTTATTGATCAATCTCAAAATGGTTTTAAAGTTCTCAGCAAATTTTTACAGCTAGAGGCTTGGGTCATGATTAGTTGTGAACCCCACCACACTGTTTGCCCAACCTTTTGGAAGCAGGCAGGGTTATGTACATTTAAACCTGAGGGGACGGTTCAGTTGGCACCAAAAACAGTGCTTTTTGAGCAATAGAGCACTTGGATTCTAGAATGCACTAGACAAACTCCCATAGATTTTCCTGTTGGAAGCAAACTTCCCGCAGTGCAGGCAGAGCTCTGCTGAGCCCAGCTTCTCTCAATCCCAGCTCCGGCGTTTCTGTCATACCAAGCAAACAGAAGCTGGATGCTGACACTACTACAAGTATGGCACTTGTCATTTAGGTGCTGCTTTAAAACAGACCATGCCATAAGGTTACATGAGAAAAGAACGCAAACCTTCAGAGCTGCAGTCAGACAAGTTGTCCGTCAGAGGGTCGGACAGAGGCTCAACAGGACCAATCAGTTCGGACCCATCATGCACCTCTCCACCCTGAAAAGAAAGAGGGAGAGGAATTACTTAGCTGCTGTGCTCTATGAAAAGTCTAATTTTATAGAAATGATAGTCAAAGTTTTTAACCAGTGAATGTTCCATTAGAGTTAATGCATTTAATTAAACTATATAAACCTGCAAAATTAAACAAGGGCTTTTGGTCAGGCCATGTTTGGTTGCCGCAGACTTTGTAGGTATCTAAACAGCTAGTCTACTGCAGCTTCAGAGTCCTGAACCACACAGGCTGCAGCAGATCTACCTGCAAAGCCCAGAGTTTAACAAGGAGAGAACGGCAATGCTCCTGCTCTCATGGCATATACAGTGTGTGCCCTTCAGTGGAGGTCCCTAGCTCAGCAGGTCCCTCACTCAGGAGGGTCTGTCCATCAGACATGCCCCAGCCGTGACCCACTATCTGGTGTTGACTCGTAACCAAGACAGGACAAACAGGGAAGATAAGGCCAGGTCAGCATATAAAAAGAACATTATTCCCTTCCAAGCCTGGAAAGAATCAAAGGTAAGTGAAGTAATGGGAGCAATTAATTGCACTACAATCCACCTTAATGTTGGGGGTTTTAATTTGTGCTTTGCATCTCAGGTGCACGCTTTTCTGAAACTTTACCAGAAACTGCATCATTTCCAAGGCAGTGTTACAAACGGGCATTCCTAATCCGCCTTGAACTAGCCCAGCACATTTCCACACCAGCCAGACCGTTTTTCTGGGGTCTTTAGTACACAGATACAGTATTCCTTTCCACTGCTTCTAAGACTTCATTGTCCAAATCTATCACTCCACAGCTATTTGCACAAAAATCTGAAAAGGAACAAAACCACCCGTGAGCAGATCTAAAGGGCACTGGCTGAGCTGGTGACCGATCAAAACCTAAGGCTTTCTTACAGGAAAACGTGACACAAAACAAATCAGCCTAAATTATTACACTTGCATAACTCCCACTGTACACATACTTGCTCCTATAAAAATTAATGCCTTTCTAGTTTTATTCATTGCTTTACAAAGCCGGAAAAGATCCATTGGCAAGCTAAGACTAATACTTTTGTTAAGCAAAGGAGGCAAAAAGATCTCTGAACAAATACCCAAAACCACCAAAGTATTTCCAAAGAACTGAAAAAGTAAAAATGCAAATAAACGGAAAAGTAAAATATTCCCACTCAGCCTTCCATTCATTGTTGCCACAAAAGCTTAAAGAAAATTTTAAGTATTTTAAAGGCCTCTGCAATAACATCATGAAAACAAGTGAAGATTTTCAAGCTTCACTGTAATTTTGCCTTTGCATACATATCATTTAAGTATACTAAACATCTCAATACCACTTAAACCCCAACTCAGCCAGATGAGCATTTCCTTAATTCCAAGGAGTTACTATTATTGCATTTACATATAAATTTATGCTTATGTGTATGCAGAATGTTGGACTAAGTTACTGAAAATACAGAGATTTGAAGCACTTAATGAAAAAAACCTGCTTCAGATGTAATAAAGAGGAAGTCTGGATCAACGTACTGTCCTCTTGGAGAGTGGTTCTCACAACACTGTATCAGCAGCCTATCTGACTAGTTATATGCCAAATTTGTTGTCACAGACCTGAATCCGTAACAGGCCATATGAAAAGTCTAGACAGTCTTATTACCTTTGGTTTGAAACTATAAGCACCTACATAAAGTACAGAAACAGTGACAATACTTTTATTACTTCCCCACTGAACACCTGGATTTAACATCACAAGTTTGCTCATCACTCAATAAATACAAATTCCGAACCCCTTCACCTGAAGTTCATCTAAAACTTTCCACCTTGTAGAGGTGTGGCATGGGGTTTTTTTAAAGCCACATTTCTAGTGAATGGAAAACTTCCAGTCATTTCACAAAGCATGTCAGTTCACCTCACTGTCACTCAACAGCTTATGAAGTAAAGCAGAATCAGCACTACACTTTATTCGTATCAGTAAGAAGCAAATACTTCTGCAAATACTAACAAACCTTAAAAAACTCTTCAAGTTGTTTGCTGTTATAGAGAGCAGGGATATTGGCAGAAAACTGCAACAGATCTTCAGCACATTGCCTTCTTTCTTCAATCACAGTTTCATCAAATCGCCCTGGAACAAACACACAGATTGACAGTTTTAGAAATAACTACACATTTATTCTGCAATAAGAATCACCACGGAAAAAAAAAAAAAAGATCAAGACAAAAGCAACCTTCTGGAGACAATGCCCTGAGTCTATGAAAGTCATTCCAGCGCTTCAGGAGAACATAGCAAATCTTCAAACTTCCTATGCTCTATTGTCCCTAGAGTCCCGTCTTCTGCAATCCACTCAGATGATGCAAGCTGGCAGCTACGACAAGAATCCTTCGCCCTCTTATCGTAAGAATATGTGAGGCAACACTCTTGATTAGCCAAGAGACACTAACGGATGTCCAGTGTTATCTAACAATAAATGATACATGCACAATTTGACAACATGCCAGTCAGTGTCAGCCTTGATTACAGCCCAAATCCTGGAAGGAGCTGAGCATTCTTCACACATTCTCAAGAACAACGCACAATATGAGCGGACAGTAAACGAAATATCGCTAAAAGCCCCCAAACAGATCATCAATTCCAAGGTGCCATTCATGGAGGAGACAGAGTGTAGGGGAGATGGTAAAACCCTACTATCAGGCACTGAAGCTTTCCTCTGAAGTAGCTCCATGCAGACAGGGTCTCATCTCCTCCTGGATTCAAGAGATAAACAGAGCTGGGAAGCAGCTCGTTTACCAAAATGCATGATCCTTCCCTTCTCCCTACCCAGCACCCAAGACATTCCAATTAGAAAAAACAAATTTAAAAACAATCCCACAGTTCACCTGAGATATTAGCTTCTCAGGAGAAAGAACCCTTGGATTGCTACCTTAAATTCACATTCTTCACAATTGCACACAACTTCTTTTAGCTTTTCATATCAACATCGCTTTGTTGTTGAAATAGTTACAAGTTTACAAAAGAAAGAGAGCAGAGGTTAACAGTAATAATTGGAGGAGAATGGAACAGATATTGGAACAGCTATACAGAGGGAAAAAAAGGACTAAGAAGACAAGTTCAAGAAACAGTATTGCTGTAACAGCATGACCAGAAAAATAAGAACCACCTGTGACAGCTCTGTGGCATTAACCTTTGAAGAGAACAAAAGAGACATTGAATACAGAAGCAAAATTCATTTATACTCAGAGCAAGCAAAAACATAATCCCAGAAGAAAGTATCAAAGCAGGATTCTTTCCAGAAATTCTTCAAGTAAATAGCTCCTGCCCATGTGGTACCAGAAAAAAAATAAAATAAAACTAGAAAGACACACACATGCTCACAAGATCACAAACAAAGCTTTTGGGGGTTATTCTTCCATGAAAGGAAAGGAAAGACATCGTCGGGCTAATTTTCAGCTGGATCGGTTCCGTGACTTGTTCACCCTGCCCTTTCAGCTGCACAAACACTAGCAGCCATACAAAAGAGCGAGAAACAAGCAAGCAGAAAGAAGGCAAAGGCAACGCTACCACGTTGAGTGGCAACACTGAAATCAAGCTCTATTACACTGTCCGATGACTTCAGAGCAACACCGGGGGTGCACAAGGGCTTTTGTTTCATCCCACGCAAAATAGGACATCATGGAAAAACAATTTCCCTCAGTAAAGTGTCACAGCATGGGCCAGTTAAACCTATCTACAAAATAACATGAACACTGTTATAATGAAACAGAAAATCAATTGCAAAGAAAAAAAAACTCCACACCAAAATCACTGAAACTGAAGAAGGCCCAAAAACAGGTAACTTCTACAAGTGAGCAAAGATATATTTTAGAAGATATTTTTCCTGGTTTCCCAGGGATCTTTCTCTCCCCAATTCACTCTATCATCAAAATCCAGTGTGCCTGTCCTCATGCATGCCTCCTCAGTACTCCGCCAGACATCAGGCTGGCCGTGTCAGGACCAGCACTGCCCAGCTGACCAGGACACGTTCCCCGATTCTCCAGGCAGCTGCACACCTCAGGGCTAGGAGCTGAGCCTGCCTGGCCCTGGGCAGCACCACGGCACCCGCTCCCTTCTCACCCAGCTGCCATTGCACATACTCTGCAGAAACGCAGGTTTCCCTCTCAAATCTAGCCAACGCCAGCCACGTGAGTAAGAGGTTGGACTTTCTAATGGCACAATTACATAAGCCTTATTTTCTTAGGGAGCTGAGCTTAAAAATAAAAGTTAAAATGGACGGAGCTGTTAAAACATTAGTCAGTGTCACATTTTCCAGCTCATCAGCATCACGACACACTCTCAGGACAACCACTTAGAGAACTAGAGGACTTCAGGGGAAGGAAGAACATAGCTCAGTACTGGTTTGTTTACAGACTATTCGGCATCTTGCTGGCAGTTTCATTCTCAGCCAGCCCTGCCTAACTCGTTCCCCCTCTCCCTATTTTCATACTTTCAAGCGATCTTCTATTGCTCAACACTTCCACTACCACCCTTCTCAGTCAGATGTTCAAAGGTGCTTAGAGATTCAGCTGACTCTTCAAGCATTCCTATTGGGGAACCCTTCCTGCATCTAAATCAATGTTATTTCCACCATTATTTACACCTCTCAGGCACATGAAAACTTCGTTATAGGGACCATGTCTTTCCAGGGTTGTAGGAAGTGTCAGCTGCATTCTTAGCACGTAACAAATGCATTAGCACAGTTCTGCTATGCCTCCAGAAACAACTCATTCAAAACCATGTATAAATTCTTGTAAAGTGAATCAGGGAAAGTTAATTTCCTGGAGCAGATCTGAACAACAAAACACATCACAAGGTTTGTGTTGTTGTTTCAATTAGTTCCTCGCAAGACCTCCTATTGTACTGCAGCCCTGAGGAGAAGGACTTGGGGGTACTGGTAGACAAACAGCTGGACATGAGCCAGCAGTGTGCGCTGGCAGCCCAGAAAGCCAGCTGTATCCTGGGCTGTATCCAGAGAAGTGTGGCCAGCAGGTCGAGGGAGGGGATTCTGCCCCTGTACTCTGCTCTGGTGAGACCCCACCTGGCGTGCTGCATCCAGCTGTGGAGCCCTCAACATCAGAAGGATATAGACTGGTTGGAGTGAGGCCAGAGGAGGCCACAAAGATGATCAGAGGGCTGGAGCACCTCTGCTATGGGGACAGGCTGAGAGAGTTGGGCTTGTTCAGCCTGGAGAAGAGAAAGCTCCGGGGAGACCTTACAGCACCTTCCAGTACCTGAAGGGGCCTACAAGGAAGCTGGGGGGGACTTTTTACAGGGGGCTGTAGTGACAGGACAAGGGGTAACGGGTTTAAATTGAAAGCGGGGAGGTTTAGATTAGATATCAGGAAGAAGTTCTTCCTGGAGAGGGTGGTGAGGCACTGGAACAGGTTGCCCAGAGAAGCTGTGGATGCCCCATCCCTGGATATCTTCAAGGCCAGGCTGGATGAGGCTTTGAGCAACCTGGTCTAGTGGAAAGTGTCCCTGCCCATGGCAGGGGGGTTGGAACTAGATGGTCTGTAAGGTCCCTTCCAACCCAAACCATTCTATGATTCTAGGATACATGACACCTAATTCTTAAATATGCTACTTCACTGGGTATTTTCAAATCCATAAAATATCCTTATCTGAAGCTTTACAACATGAATAATTTTTCTGACTCACTCCTAGCAAGTTATCAATATCTGGGGGTTTTTGGTTTCTTTTTGTCAGGAGGGAGAATATTTTTCACACTAGAGTATATTTCTGCAGTTGCTGGATACAAGAGATGCTGAGTACAGATTTGCCAGTATTTTTGTAAAATACCACGTGTAGCCACATATGTGGATACCTGAAGTGTCCAACAAAAAAAATAGTTGGAAAATACTGAAGAAATTATGCTGAAGGAAGGAGAGTATTATGTTGAGGGAAGGAGAGTAATCACTTCCCAGAAATAGGTATCATAATTGCTGCATAAAAATTCAGAAAAGCTTTAACAGCTGGATGTGTTAGGACATTTTAGATTCTCATGTGCGAGGTCACCAGGTTTTCTCCATAAAATGGGTGGAAAAGGTTCAAGTGAAGTGCAGAAGAAGGGGAATGATTTCTTTTTCCTACCTGTAACAAGTTCCGTGCTTTGATGTGAGCAGCTCTGTTGCTAAAAGCATAAAAACACATGCACTTGTACACGAAAATTATCAAAAGCTGTGGTGTAAAACATGCAGCGCAGTTTAGTTCTGCAGATGTGGCAAGTCTTTGGTGGCATGAAATATGGAAGCACAGCACGACTCGTTCATTTTGAAATACATCTCAGTTCTCCACAACATCTCCTGAAACTCTGAATGCTGAACTTGAGATTCTGCTCAGGTTTAATACTTCTAACTACAAAGAAGTTCGACTGACAGAACTACCAGTGCTCATTTCGTAAGCGCACCCTCCACAAAACAATACGTATGTGTTATTTAAAGCACTCAAAAAAAAAAAAAAACCCACAAGTTGCCAGCAAGACTGACAGTGCTAATTAGTTTAGAAGCCGCAACAAGTAGAACATCACCGCAAGGAAGAAACACTGCAAAAATACTCCATTAAAGCAGCTGGAAAACATAAGATCTTAATAGAGATGGACCTTGCAGCTCACCATTAAGTGAACGAGACTGAGAAGTTGTTTGTCAAAACCCCATAATCTACTAAAATTAGATCATTTTTCTCTAGTACAAAAATATACTAGGACCGATCTGAAGACAAATGCCTTAAAATAAAATAAAACACTCAGCAGCTATTTTCTGTAGAAGTGAGATGGAAGGATACGGAGTAAAATGTTATCCTTTAAACAGAAGAATAATTCTTAAATTGAAGAGTCAGACATTTCTGTTCCTTTCAGCTAGGTACCAATCATTTCAAATTTGTTTTTCCGTTACCCTCTTTCCTGTATTCTTCTGTGGCTCAGCTTCATTCAAAAGTAGTGGGCCTTGTTTTGGTTTATTTTTAATTTCAAAGTGCATTTTGTAAATAACCACATTGAGTATTTCTGTAGATTTCCTTCTCTTACAATGTACATTGCTGTCACGTTTGTTTAACCAATACAATAGAAGAAGAATGTCTTTCAGAAGAGATTTCACTCCCTTGCTTACAGAGCTAGTGTAAAACCAGCTAATTTGCATTTCTGGCAATTCAAATTTATTTATGACGTGAGAAGCCATTCTCTCTTCCACCCTGATTTTTTTTCACCCCCCTCTTTCCTCCCCTATGAATAGCTACCATATTTTCTACCTGAAGTTAAATTATGCTTTGCAAATACTTGATTTTTAAATAACTTGTCCAGTGAGCACTCTACTCTGTAAACCAGACCTAGAAGCTATAGCAGCAGTTTGGATTCCGGTCATATGCCAACGTCAACTTGTCCAAAGCTGTTCACATTATTTAAGGACCTCAGTGCCATGCCTACATGTAGCCGTCATCAAGAACAAACACAGTATAGCACTAACTAGCAAAAATTACAAGTCTGTGGCAGTATTTGGTCCTGAAACATCAAAAGGAAAATTTGTGCTTTCCAGGCTGAGGTTTTGCCTCCAAAAGTTCCATACAGTTTTCCCGCACCCAAGGCAAAGGGAGACAGCCAGCAAATACTGCAACATCACCATAACCCCGGGCAGTATTATAGTGCTGTCACATAACGTGGTGCAAAAAGGGCTGACTAAACCACCTCACTTCTGGCGCTTTCCAAACTGACAGGCTTGACTATCCCAAAGTAATAGTAAATGCCAAAAAAAACCCACAACACCTTATGCCAAAAAGCATAATAGACTAAAAAAGCAACACATGCCAAAAAACACCAAAAGCATACAGGATGCTAAGACACACTAAAACCATGATACAGGGAAAAATACATGTAAAAGCATGCAGTAGATGTGTGCTCAAAAATGCAAGCCAAACACCGGATGATAAAACACGTTAATATGCACCACAGAGGAAAAATGTGGAAAAATACACACTAGATGCATGCCTAACACCACTAAAATTGCCAAAAATTATACACAAACTGCAAAACCAGGCATTAGGTGAGGGCCAAAACACAGCAAACACTGGCTGGATGCTAAAACGGGCACAACAAATGGAAAAAACATGCAAAACCATGTGTGATAATAAAGACTGAAAACAGGCACAATGCATGGAAAACGTGTGCAAAGACACACAAAAGCATGCACTACATGCATGCCAAAAAACACCAAACATTTTAGCATTTTGAGTGTTCAGCAAGATATATGGGGGGAACCACAAAAAAGCATATGATAGCAGGATGAAAAAATAAAAATATAAAGCCAAACCCACTCTGGATGCTCAAAACACTTAAAACCACATCACAGATGCACAGCAAAAAATGCCATAAGTATGCTGTATGCTTAAAAACCCATCAAAACATCTTTGAAACACCCACTGCAGCAACAACTCAGAAACCAAAACACTATTCCAAAAAAAGGTGCAAAAATGTTGGGGGGAAAGAAAAAAGTGCAGGGGAGAAGCATGCCAAAAAACGCCGAACATGCTGGACGCTCAAGACACCACCACAGCAATGCCAAACATGCTGTGAGGACACTTCAGGAACCAAAACCCACACAAAAAAGCCATGCAAAGATCTACAACAGAAACCTTGACCAAAAAAAAGAGCACATGGCAGATGCCTTCAAAGAAATGCCAAACGGGCTGGACACTAAACACCACACAAGGTACATAGAAAAACCAAACACAGGCTGGAAGCTTAAAAACAATCACAGAGAAAAAGCCAAGCACCACATTAAATCAACTTGTAAACACCATGGAAAGGCCTTAATAACCCCAAAACATCTTAGGCACTGAAAAGACCACCCCAAAACACCTTATAAATGGAAAAGCCTGCCAAAAACCACATTAAAAAAAAGCACATGGTAGACTCATGCCAAAAAAAATGCCAAACCCATGCTGGAATTTTAAAAACCTGTTAAAAGGCCCAATGATTGCACGCAGTAGATGTGTACCAAAAAAACACCAAATATACTGGACACAAAAAAACACTGAGTAACTCCTAAAAACCTACTGAAAATCATAAAGTATATGCATGCCGAAAAAAAAAAGACTATAAAAGAAATTCTGGACAGAAATAACACTGCAGCAACACCCTAGAAACCAAAACCACACCTAAAAACGCCCTAAATCCGTACCAGGAACCTTCCCAAAAAACAGAGCACATGGCAGGTGCATGCCAAAAAAAACCCCACCCAACATGCTGATCACTAACTACCATGCAAGGTGCATACAAAAACCCATGAACACAAGCTGGATACCTAAAACAAAACCAAAAAAAGCGACAAAACCAACTCGTAAACCTCATGGAAATGCCTTAGTACCCCCCAAAAAGAACCAACAAACTCAAAAGCCCCCCCAAAACACCTTAGAAACAAAAAAGCCTGCCAAAAACAACATCAAAAAAGAGTGTGTGGTAGATTCATGTAGAAAAAATGCCAAACATGCTGGACATGTTAAAAAAATGCTAGAAAATGCTTAAAAACACAGCAAAAATCATGAGGTATATTCATGAAAAAAGCTAAATCTAAGAAATGCTGGTCAAAACAAAGAAAAAAATAAACAAACATGCCGAACATTTTATGAACAAAAAACCACACCAAAAAAAGGTCAGAATTCACACCAGAAACCATGCTGAAAAAGACAGCACATGGTAGATGTTTGCCAAAAAATGGCAAACATGCTGGTTGCTGAAAAACACATAAGGTACACACACAAAAAAAAAAACCAAACACAGGCTGGACACTTAAAAAAAAAAAACAAAACAAAACCACTCCACACTAAAACAACTTGCAAACCCACAGAAATGCCTTAGTAACCCAAAAATGCCTTAGAAACTGAAAAATCCACAAAAAGCGCACCAAAAAAGAGCGCATGGTAGGTGCACACCAAAAAAACACCGAAAACCCTGGACTGTCAGCAGTGCCTTAGAAATGCCTTAGAAACACTCAATAAGTGGTAGATGCATACCCCAAAAAAGGCCGAACATGCTGGACACTTAAAAACCCACAGAAAATTATGTAGTAGGTGCATGTTATAAAACGCACTAAAGAAATCTTGGACACAAGAAAAGTTGCAGCCACACCTTAGGAAACAAGAAACGCAACCCAAAAATGCCCAAAATCCCCATCGGAAACTTTGCCAAGAAAAAAAAAAAAAGGCAGCACATGGGAGATGTTTTCCAAAAACACCAAACACCACACTAAGTGCATACCAGGAAAAAGCATAATCACAGGCTGGATGCTTTAGAAAAATGATACACTGGAACAACTCATAAATGCCACAGAAATGCCTTTGCAACCCAAAAGCACTTTAAGAACCAAAAAGGCCACCCAAAACCAAAGCAAGAGCACCCGGTAGATGCATGCAAAGAAACGTTACAATCCTTGGCAAAAAGGCTTGAAAGCACATGGTGGATGCACCAAACCCATTCCAGATAGTTATCAAAACTTTAGAAACTCCTCAGAAACCCCCACAAAGCATAGAATGTATGCAAAAAAACCCACCAAACATGCTGGACACATTAAAACTTGCTGAAAAACCACTTAAAAATCCACTGGATATTGTGTGAGACACATATATATATACACACATGCACACCAAAAAAAAAACCCAGCAACAGTTTGTGCTAAACACAAAGAACACATGCTAATTAATAAATAAATAAATAAACATAACTCATTGCTTAAAAAGAGAGTGGTAGGTGAAGTTCTATATGGAGTCATACCACTTCACTGAAAGTCCACCTACAGCTCATTCATGATGACATATACATCAGGATTAAATTAAGACCTTTGGCTATTAAGAGCGAATTATTGTTTACCATATATTTCTCATGTAGAGTAACAACCGTCCTATGAGTTGTTCTGGTGAAACAGTTAACTGCCGTAAGTAAAAGTGATCTCAAAAGTCTAGCTAGATAAAACTGATAATTACAATCAAACTCCTAAAACAAAAAACATTTTTCTGCAACCACCACTTGATACCTTGCTATACCTCATCACTAAAAATCACAGACAGCTCGTATACAAAAATCTTTGTTCATGGTCCAAGTGCTGCTCACAAAGCTAATGTAGGCTTTATGCTCCTGGAAACAGGGCATGTACGTTGTACTGATACAGAAGATGTAAAACAATAAATATCTGGGGTGACATCTCTAACGTGGGAGCAAGGACATGGCTACATAAAAGTATCAAGCTGTGATACCAGCACACCTACAAGTACGACACAACAAACCACACAGTTGAGTAGTAAAAGCACATGGAAAAGAGTTCCATGCAGCCACAAAACAAGAGGTTTTAGATAGATAGATAACTGAGTTATCAAAGAATTTCAGCAAGTCAGGAAGAAATTATGCTTACCAAATACTATTGCTTTTGCAAAAGGTGGAAAGAGTTCTGTCTGCCTGCATAGGTTCTTATGAATTTGCCAGAGATCTTTGTGCAGTTTCTTGAAGTCACTGTATCTCTTCCAAACGACTATCTGAAGCAAAGAAAGGGGAGAGAAGCATTAGTGAGGTTCATTGTTCCTACTGCATCACACCACAAATACGTATTTTTATCAGGCCGCTACTTTCAGCAAATACGTTTAACGAATATACAACTGGAACTGCTAACTGTAACAACCATTGAAAAAATGGTCATTATCTGTCCTCAAGACCCATTCTGACTAACAAGGCTAGAGTGCATAGGAAAAAAATACTAAGTAAAAGCTGAAAGAAACAGAGTGGGCAAAGACAGTGCTGTTTCAGTCACACTGCGACCCACAGCTGCATAGGGAACCTCTAAGAGAGGAAACAAAGCCAAAGAGGAGTGCTGCACTATCCAATGCTCAGTAGCAGCATGCTGGGCTCGGTGCAGCTGCAGGTACAGGAAAGAAACACAACAGCAAAAGAGAAAACGAGGGAAGAGAAATCAATACAAGTAAGGAATTCCAAATCTCTCAAGGAGGCCAACTAGTGATCAGGCCACCAGAAACAATACTTTTTTCAATGCTGTACTTCCATCTAATCCAATATCCAGGAAGTGGATGATTAGCGCTTCTTGAGCGGCATGCAAACAGAATAGAAAACAGCTCAAGATGGTAAGGTTTTGAAACATCAAGTTACTGTATTGTCAGCAGTTGGAGGCAACAGGGAAAGGTGCCAGAAAATAAGAGCATGAGATTCCATATGACTAAAAGCATATTGTTTTTACTGCTGCAAGTGATCTCCCAATAGCCAAGACGAAAAAAATAAATATCCATAAGTAGCTTGCATAGCAAAAGCCATCAAGGTCATCCTCAAACCTTTGCCAAGCTCACGGAAATCACGCCTCTGCATGCTTGCGGCTCAGCAAAGGTAGCAAAGTTCCACTCTAATGTACACCTTAGAAGCCAGATGTGGAAGAAGGACACATTGTACTTCAAGGCCCAATGAAGCACAGCCAGCATTTCATAAAACATATGTTAGACTTGTAATACAGCAAGGTGCTTGTCATGGCTACAGCCAGCAGATCTCTATTAACTCACATGACTTATCTTTTCCACAATGAAAAACCCTTTCTCCTCCGTGAATGAGTAAGAGGAAAAACCCCACAAGACTACCCTAGCTACAATTGCGTCACACGCCATGTTGCCACCATCAATCCCCAGAAGCAAGGAAATTAAAGTCCGCTAGCCTTTCTGTACGTATGAACTCCTCCACAGACAACTTCATGTTAACTTCTCATCCTTCTGAGAAGAAAGCCCTTACAAGGTTATCTTCCTTCCTGTCCCAGCAACAATGGGTGAGGATATCTTGAATTATAATGGGCTGCAGAGGGAGATGCTGTATCAAAGGCTTGTATCACCAGTTAGAGGTGGGTGACAGAAAACTGGCTGATAGAGCTGAGGTCACAGTACGCAGCCTTACGTACAGCTGTACGTATATAACGTACTGACAATGCAGAAGGGACATGAGAAGAGACTTCTGAAGGAGCAGGCAGGCACAGCTAAGTGGGCCCATACGGGTACAGAGAAGGGGGTTGCATGAGACAGAGCATAAAGCAAGAGGGTGGAGGTGTGCACACATTTTTTGTCTACTGAGTTTCTAATGGAGCATTTTGGAATACTGAGGTAGATTTATTTTTAGTGGGAACAGAGCATATTCTTTTTCTTTCAAAGGCTTCTTTTTCTGTCATAGGAAGCCAGTATAACAGAAAAGCTCCCAGCTTACGTGGCTTCTCTTCTAGAATTCACCCTCATAGCAACTACCATCTAGGATGTTCCCTTTAGTAACTAGGAACTCTCAGATGATTGCTTAAAACAGATGTACAGCACACCTAACATGCTACCACATGCAAAATCATTACTTGGATACAGTGAAGGGTGGAAGAGGGCGATGACCAAGAAGTTCATGGAACATTCCAGTCTTCTTACAGACCAGGGTTTGTGGAATCCTGCATGGCTAACCTACAGCCATAGATGAAAGCAATGACTAAAAAGATATGCTTATGCTGTTGTTTCAAAACTACTTAACGTATTCATGCAATACTCTAGCTGAAAGACACAATATATTTTTCTGAGGAATGGTTCATCAACAGCTGCTTTAAAGTGGTTTTCCCACAAATTAAGATTAAGGTAATGGCAGAATGTGTTCATGGATAGGTTCAATTCAGGAGTCTCCCTGGAAAAGGTGAACATCAGGCTACAAACTACAGTTACACAGTTCTAAAACCAGATCCATGACCATCTGATTCTGATAGGCCATTTTAATCTCCTAGAGATTAAAAAAAAAAAAAAAAAAAGGCAAAAAGCATGAATGCTTATGTTTGCCTGATTCTCAGGATTTTAAAGAAGGATGCAACAAAGGAGTGTTAGCTGTGTTAGCCAATTCTCACCTCTGCCAAGCCACTAATCAGTAACTCATGTTTGACCAGAGATGCAATGAATTCATTTATGGGCTCTTCTTTCATCAACTATCCAGGTTCTCCTCAACTGTAGTAAGAGACTGCACCAGAAATTGAACATATGCATATGTTACATAATGTCTGAAAAGCCATAAGGTTGTGCTTTTGAAGGAAGATTTTGCATGTACATAGTATAATAGTACCAATGTCAAGCCATTAGTCCAGAAGAAATCAAGAGGGGAAAAAGAGTTTTTTAATCTAAAATAAAAAATCCAAAACCCCAAACCCACAACCCACACACATGTGATGTAATTTTTTGTCTCAATAAAATGATTCCCAAGAGTCTTTTGAGGTATTAAAGAGGCACAAGAATGCATCAGACCCTTATTCAGAGCCTTTTCAGAAGCAAAGAGTAAGCAAGTTTTAACAAATTATATCACTGGAAAATACTTAAGGAGCCTCAGAGAGAGAGAGGGGCATAATACATGACTTGCAGTCCAATCTCTCAATTACTCCTACGCTCCTCCCTTTTCCCTCTTCACTAATAGACAGTAATGATATAGGCTTTTCAGTGAAGTATTGGTTAAAGAGGAAAAGAGTACCTACAGCTGAGACCTAAGACTCGGATTGTGGACTGATCTCTAATTTTACCCGTAGGTGTTAAGTAACCATCAATTTGCCAATTCCAACCCTGAGAAAAGAGCTTACAAAGTTATCAAAGCAGTTTTGTCATCAAAAGACACTTTACTGCCAAAGACTTTGTTTCAAGTCATGATTCATCACTGAAGGATGAATTGCAACATGTTATGCTGGCTACTGTTTTTAACTATGAAAGCTAAAGACAAATGGAAACACACAAAAAACTCAATTACAGTGAGGAAACAGACAAAACTGCTAAATTACATCAAAGATGCTTCAAAAGGCATAGTTTGATACACAAAGACATTTGCACAAGTTTAAACTGTTACCTCCTGGACATCCTCTGGATTTTTTCTTGAAACAATCTGAAAAGCAAAACAAAAAAAAAGACAAACATGTAAGCAGTTGGATTTTCAGTCTGGAGGTTGAAGAGAGTAACACACAATGATTTGTTGCTGAAGAGAAAAATCTGGGAAAAGGAGAACAGTTGCATGTTCCTCCGCGCTTAGAAACGCTGTAATTTAGTTTTAGAGAAGTCTAATATCCAAATACAACATGGTGAGGTATTTTAGCAGCAGAGTCAGTTGCTGTGATTAGAAAGGAAGGCGTGCATTCTAGGCAAAATGGCACAGAAGGCACCTCACGAAACAAAGCTACACAGAGCACATCCCCCATCATCTTTTCCAGTCTCTTCCTATTAATTCATATTAGGGCCACATCACTCCCAATAAGCGCAGCTAATTAAGGCTACTTGGCTTCATCCAAGCTGCACACAGCCTCGCTGTGAATGTGAAGCTTTGCATTTCCTACGACAGCGTTTCCACTTTACTTACAGCCATCAATGCGCACACATCTGACTCTCTCCCTGCGTATTTGTTTCTTCTTAAACAGTCTTTGCCTATTAATTATTAATTACTTTGTCCAGAGGAAAACTGCAGTGAAAACGAGGCTTGGCTACACACCATAAAGACAACTGTATTTTGTCAGGATTTTTTTTCTTTAAATAAATATTGATCGCAAAAGCCTTTGTAATCCAAGTTTTGTATTGGGTTTATAAACAGCAGTAAGAGCTTACCCACCCAAACAAATCAAATAGACATCTTTAATTCATAATCGCAATTACCCTGTGCAAGTCAGTATAGCCTTCATTATAACTCAGCCAAAGCTGTTAACAAAATAATTAGCCTATTGTTAGCTAAAGCAAAATAGGGCATTCTCAATCCAAACCAACTACCCACACGCTGACACGCCCCAGAATAATTAATGCTGTGGATAGGTGATGCATATAGGCACGCACAAGGAGTCCACGCCACTTGCTCTCCAGAGGCTAACACATCACTCCGCTGTACTGCGAGTGCCACGCAGCTGTTGCTCTGAGATGGAAGTCACTGCATCTGTGCTTTCCTCCTGCTAAGTGACAATAACATACCCCTCATACTTCCCACAAACTAGCTCTCTTCCTCCCTTTCATTTCCCAAGACTCTTCACCAGTGCCTCTCAGACCTCGTAACTCCAGTTTACTACACAGCCCAGCCACTGTAATCTTACACACATTTTGGAGGCGACAAGACAGAAAAGAGAAGTGTTATCCTCTCTAGCAAGCTCCCAGGAGACCTACAACATTTTCCTTCACAAGTCTCTTTCTCTCACCTTGCACATCAAGGTCCTCTTCTTCCAGCGCAGTCTACATTCAGAAAACCTTCCTCAACTTTTCCTCACTCTTGAGTAATCTAACATTTGGCAACTTCACCAAATTTTAACCTTGGCGGTTGTTGCTCCTTCATTCGCTACCAGGCAGTTCATAGGTACAACTGGTGAAATATTTCTAACCTTCTTTTCTCATAGGTGGCGTACTTGATGTAAGCAGCCTGTAGAGCTGGGGGAAGAAGATATCCCAGGCATGGCTACACATCACAGAAGAACACCAAAGGGCACACGCCAACTGCTTTGCTTTGCAGTTCACCTTTAGTTAAAGCCTTGCAACAGTTTTGGCAGCTAGGTAAGTTACCAGATGGGGAGAAGGAGACACAGAGAGATGAGTAATTACCCAGCCGGTTAGTAAGAATCTGGAATAAAACACAGAGGCCCTGTTTCACACTTGTTCTAATGTTACATCGCCTTCTATAGCTACCAGCCATGCCAACTTTAAGTCAGTATGTAGTAATTTATGTGTTGTCCTACTTTGTTCCTCATATCCTTTTCTGAAGGTCAACCTCAGAAGAGGTCTGCCCCTTCGATCCAACCTATAATCAACCTAGAGGCTTGGCAAGGATGATCCTATGCCCCAAATTTTCAGTGCACCTTTTTAATACTTCCACAAGGATCAACGCAGTCAGCTCCTTCTGCAAATCTGTAACGCAAGTAATCTATTTTAAAAAATACCATTAGGATACCCAGAAATTACTTAAGCAATGCGCAATTACCGCGTCAGCCTCTGAAAACAGAGATCCTAAAACAAAGTATTTCCCATTGTCTAGTTCCTTCTCTGACCTGCAGATATCCAGCATAACTCATTAAAATTTTAATTATCATTAATAATTACAATCTTCTCAACTATCTGAACTTTTATTAGTGGCCTGTATTTTCAGATATCTTTAAAGAACACTCCTAGTATGGCAACTTGCCCGTATCTCTTTCTGTTCTCTAGCCTTTGGAAATGGATATAAAACCACCAATATTCATTTAATCTTGTCTGCACTTACAATTATTTCACAGTTTACAATATATATTCTCTATATACAACAATATATTCTCTGCTATACAAACCAACCTTTAAGAAGCAGCTGCAATAAGGACACACCAACTTAGCACTCAGAAGGGACTGCATGGGTAATTGTGGCTTTGGGTAAGGTGTTTAAGACACACTAAACAAGTGCTTTCTCATCCATAATTCTTAATCTATCCTTATATTGGAACAGAAAGTTCCTTTAACTTTGTTTCACAAAGGATTAACTTAGAGATGCTGAAAGGAACTAGAAATCTCCCCTAGCATGTACTGAGTACCCTAGATGTCAGCTAGAAGGGTAGTGAACACAAGGGGAAGATCCACCTCACGTTTTTCCTGGCGGTCCCCCAAAGTTGCTGATCAGCAAATACAGCTGTAGTGCTGTGATATCAACCATGGAGCCAGATCACTGCAGGAACAGGAGGGAGGAATAGGAGGAGAGAAAAGGGAGGGTAAGAGATATGTACACTGAATTATTTTTAAATCTTTTTGTTCAGCATCTAACTCCCCAAATCCTCACTTCAAGTACTACATAACAGATTGCCAGACAGAGCCCTACTGAAACAAAAGTTACTAATACGTCTACATTTGTGAATCCAAAGTATCCTTTGCTGCATAAAAGAGAAACAGCTTTCACTCTGGGGATTTTAGATATCAAAATACACTGAAGAACTAATGATCTCTGGTTAGCTCAGTTTAATTTGGACAGCTCACCGACTAATCAGCTTCTTGAGCTGCACTAAATCACACGCACTCAGCACACCACCCAATTCTGCACTGCCTCACTTAGAAAAGTACCAGAGCATCTACAGCTTAGGGGACATGGAGAAGGAGGGACATTCCTCACTAGTTAGTCACCACTTGCTTTTGAACAATTCTGCATTAACCAAACAGAACATTTTAACTGGCTTTAGCCAGCAAGAACCAAGTCACCAGAGTGAAATAAGCAGAAGTCTCGGCTCATCCCTATTATTCCCCATTGCACTGACACAACTTCTTAGGACACACTAGAGACTTAGCCCATCATAAGCTCCTGCAGAAATATGCAATGGCACTATTTTCCTCCTTGCCTCTATCTCAAGAAAGGCTTTTAAGATTAAAACATCATAGGGGTAAACAACTTTTTTTTTCTCTTAACAAATACTACATTTTACTGGACTAAAAAGAATGTTTTAAACATGTCCCATGTTTGGTGGACTTGCATACATATATTTGACAAAAAATAATTTAAAATACTATTTTTAATTCCACAGGTCACATAAAGTGATCGTATTTGAACAACTTGAGCACTACAACATACATACGCATACAGAACAATGTATTCTCTGAATTAAGGGAAGGGTGCACATAAACATACGTTGCTGTCGTAGGCAGAACATCTGCAGCTTCAGTAACTACAAATCACAGGTCATTTAAATAAACTCTGTCCCTCTATGGCACTTTCTGACGCTCTCAATACATCCCTCCATACCTGTGACCCAAACTCCCACTCCTCTTGCACCTATCTCCATATATTTACTTACTGCCCTCCCTTTTTTGGCTTAAAGAGGAAAGCAGAGGAGAAATGAAAGCAAATTTCCCTAAGGGAACACATGGAGCTTTTGGCAAGACTAGCACCAGGCCAGCTCTCCAAGTACCCCGTTATCTGCTCCTGCTTTCCTTCTCCTCCTACTAGGCCTCTCTCACTCACCCACACTCTCTCCTGCGCAAACGGTGCTGAACCCCGGGCACGCGCAGCCCTTCCGAAAGGGGCCGTCTAAACGCTCAATGCGAACAGCTCTGCGCTTCCAGCGGGGGTGGGCTGTACCTACACGCTGCTCCCTCGGTTCTCCTCAGGAGCTGACTGCACGGGGGGGCAGGCGGGAGGACGGAGCAATTCCGCCGCACCCTGCGCAAAGAGGCTTTGGGGAGAAGGGAGAGGGGAAGACAATGGGAGTTGTCTGGGTTTAAGCCGTTCTCGTACTCTCTCCAACAAACAGGAGAGAACTGACAGCTGAGGGCAAAGCACGTCTGAGGCGATTAGAAGGTTACGGGAAGCTACAGGTTTGCAGGAGGGGACCGAGGTGCAGCTCAGGGCCGCCGTGGCCCTGAAAGCGGATTCCACGTCGCGACCGGCCTGCCCCGCGCAGGGCACGCCAGGATCCCCACCGGCAGCCCGGCCACAGGCTCTATTCCGCACGCAACGGCGGCCTGAAAGACCAAGTACGAGGCG